CCCCCCCCCTTTTTTTTTTTTTTGAAATTTTATTTTCCCGCACCCCTGCCGTCCTTTCCGTGTAGCAAAGCATCAGCAAAGCCGGGGCACTGCAACGCTTTGGGGCCTACACGCAATGATTAATTGCAACTTCTCCAACTTTTTCCTCTTCTGGTGTTTGTGCAAGATCAGAAAAGATGAGTCCGTGGGCAAATGTCAGAGGGAACTTGCTCATTTTTTCCTTTCTCTTGCAAAGCTCTCCCCTCTGCCCCGGGTGTTCGCCTAGAGCCAGAGCCAGGGGAGGCTGCTGAGATCTCTTCTGCTCTCACAAGGAAACGCTCAAGCACGGATCATATTGTCTCTCTGTGCTTGTGGAGTCGTGTCTGGTTCTCAGTTGTCACTTTAGATGGTTGAATGCCCCTGTTTTTCTGTGTAGCGGGAGTAGTACGTTTAAAGATTCAATTAGTGTTTTGCAAATCAAGCAGTGAAGTTATTTAGTTTAATTATGTTGCATTTAATTAGCAGAGAAAAATCAATGCTGTTTTGTATTTTTTATTGTAAGGAATAGCTAGGCAGTTTCCTACTGGGGAATGTAGGGTAGCAGCCTGAGTTGGGATGTGCGAAGTACAGCCTTCAGGCTTTCCAGAACAGCAGCCACCGATTTAGGAAAGAGTCCTGTTTCAAAGGAGTAAAGTTGGTAGCAGTGCTTTCTGGTTTCGATCATTCGATCCTGGTTTGTTCTGGCTTCTGCGCTGCACTTTATACGAATATGTTCTCCTGCGATATGAGTTCTGGAGCGGCCTCCAGGGATAAGCCGTCTGGCTGCCTGGCAGCCGGCTTTTAAGTGCAGTACGTAGGCATGTTTCCAGCTCTTAGCGCTAAGTTACTGTCTAACAAGTGTGCATCACATCATGGGACAAATGTTATTCCAGAAATATCATAGGTTAATCTGATGCACGATCCCTTACATAGTAGCGCAACATAACGCTTTGCTTTGGGATTCTGGCTATGTCTTTTCAATGCTTACTGGTATATCACTGCAACTGTTTGTCCGGGAAGCGGGTAACTGAGTAAGGAAGGTGTTAGCAGCATATATAGACCTGGGGCCAGCTCTAAAATAATTGCCACTTGTTTATGCTAGAGGTGAATTTGGCTTGGGATTTTAGTAAATGCTGATAGCACTGTAGACAGTAATTACAGATGTATAAATAAGTGATCACGTTTTGTTTATTCGCGTGCAGTAAATAACCCTGTGAGAATAGTAAATATAACTCCACACCAGCGAAGCAGCGTGAAGAGTTCAAACGCGGGAAGATGACTCTGTAGACACACACAAACGCAGTGCGGTTCCATAAACAATAGAACAGAAAGGCCAAAAATACCATACAAAAATCATACGCTGCGCAACCTAGAGACCCGACTTTGCAACACACTGAACTCCCATTGAAGAACTCAAGACATCATGCAGGATCCATCCCCAGGTCAGTGCTGTAAATGTACAGTTTTGAAGATGCGATGGGTGAAGCCTTGATGCGGAGGCATCCTTTCTAGTGGGTGTGTGTCGTAGTGATGATTTGCTGAACAAGAGAAACTGTAAATCTGGGAAATTGTCCTCTTTCAACTGCTTGTATTTTCATTTAAGAAGGGTATTTAAAAAAAAAAAAAATCCAGTCCAAATATAAACTGGAGGGGAAGAGGTGGGAAGGGGAGGGAAGGAGGGCTGGAAGCCAGCTGTTTCAGTGCAGTACAGCCTTGATCACTGTTTCTGAGTGTTTGAGCTTCTGATTGACACAAACAGTTCGGTTAATAGCGTCACCAAATAAACACTGTCTGTAATACCACAGTAATTCTGGGATAATATTTGTCAAAATGTATACAGTAGCAGAACAAAGGATACAGAGTCACGAAACAAATGCTATGAGGTCTACGGTCTGCATATTTGTGTACATTTGACTTTGGTTTTTTCTTATGGGAACGGAAATACATGCAAAACCCATTATGTTGTAAATAAAATAGGCTGTTGCGTGATAACAAGCCATGTTGACAAACTCTGGAATGGGCTTGGGCTTTGGTTTGACTCTCATGTCCATCTAGTCAGGCTGCTGGGAAGAAAAGTGTTACCTTATAGAGTTAGGTGCCTAGACATCTTACATACATCTGCTCCCTGGGTCCTTAAATGAAACACCTTGTTGGCACTTAATAAAAAACAATAATAAATGATTAGAGATAACAGCTACCATCCTGTCCACCAAGCAAGAGTGAACAAGGCTCCCTCTGGAGCCTCTCAGTACTGCTGTTTAATCAACAGAAGGGTCACTGTAGAGCTATTCAGAGCACTGCTTTGGAGTGAAGGGGAGCCATCTGGTAATGTAGAATAAGATGGTATATTTTGTTTTCACTAGTATTAGACCCCCTGTTTTATTAGGCTCTAGCCAGGAGACTTCCAAATACTTTTTCAAAGCAGAATCCTCATTGACTTGAAAAGAAGGAATGGCATCCAACATTGATTTTTCTTTACTCTAGAACTGTGACTTTTTGTCTTCACTTTCAGAAAATATTTGCTCCTACCCTCGTTAGTCTTACAGTTTTGATCTAAAATCCAAAATAGGGATGCCAAGAAAGAGTGGAGAAGGTCACAGATTCTGCTTGGGTTTCCTGTTACCATGGCAATACATGAATTCCTGTATTTATTTACCTGATGGATTATGTGCTCCAGGGAATTGAACTATTCTGCGTCATTCAGGGAGAATAAGGGAGCAGTTAGACACCATCAGGTCTAAAACAAAAGCTCTTCCTTGAAGCAGGTCCATTCAAGAATGCCCTTTATTGAAACCAAAGAACATATGGGTGCCATACTTCGAAGGTTTATTCTACTTGATGTTTTCAATCTTAATCTTGTAATTTTTTGCAAGGTTTTCATATCCCTTGTAAGCTTGCTTTTTCAATAGCTGTCTGCTGAAGGTTGTTTGAGATAACTGTTTCAAGTGTTAGCTACCTGGAGTGCAGCGAGTTATCTCTATTCTGCTCAGGACTCAACTGGATGTATTTATTCCCAGCAGATTGAAAATGCTGTTGTCTTCGCCTGTTACTCATAAGCATTGGCCTCATAAGCAAATTCACCTCTGAGGTCTCATCCTTGAGTGTTGGTGGTATAAACATCTAGGGGTTATCCTAGGAGAACTCTATTCTTAAGGAAAACAGCAAAATAAAAGAAACAATTCAAGAGGCCAGATTATTCCCATCTTTATAGGAACTTAATGTTTGGCCACAGTCCTCCATGCCAATTAACGTGATTCTGAGTTGTGCATCTGTGAATGCTTTTGTATTAATGTGAAGTTTCCTGGGGCTCTTATTTTTGGGGAGGATATATTTTGAACTGTTATCATCTCTTGGATCATTTTATGGAAATTATCCTGCATATTTTCTACACCTGTACAGTTTTCTGTAGTTTGTCTAAGTTATGTTTAGGTGAGTTACTAGGCAGAACTCTTTCTCGGTTCAGCTGTGCGTTCCCCACTGTACTGTGTTCTTCAGTATAAGCGTGGGCTTTCGAGTGAGAAGTTTTGCAGTTGACCAGTGGAAGTGCTGCTCTGCTGGTCGTTTTCAAACAAAGTAAAAATTCTCTGTAAAATGTCTTGTCCTGGAATCTGAAAATTAAACTCTTCTAAAGACTCACTTCACAACCCTAAAGGCAATTCAGTTCCAATTCTTCCTTATTTGGGCTTTTAGCACCTACTGCATTTCCTACTATATGCTGCTAAGATAGTGACATTGCGTGTGTGTTTTATCGTAACTTGTTTAAAAAGCATCGACAATTCAGTCTAGTCTTGTGTAGAGGCAAAATACAGGTCCAGGATGATCACTCTTTAGTGTTTCCTACAAAAAGGCACAAAGAGCAGAATTTTGCATTTTTTGTAAGTTGTCGTAGGCTTGACAGGTGTTCTGTTGCATAGCTTCAAGACTGGAGCGTTCAGAAATGTAGCCTGCGGGATAACTGCTGCAAGATTGAGATGGTCATAGCAGTTGTAAGAAGGAAGTGGACAAGGAGTGGAGAAAAAAGACAGCTGAAGTCTACTGGAATGTGAAGCAGCTGGCTTGTGCCTTAGTCAGTGAAAAAGCAGAAACTGGAAACAATTGCTAAATTTATTTTCAGTGCAAGCAATCGTTTTCCTTGAACCGCAATGACTAAATATATCTATTGGTGTGACTTTTATGTGGTGGTAACTCTTACTGACTCTTGCTAACCTGGCAAGCAGAGACATGAGTGGAAGTTCACTGTCAGTCAAGATAATAACACAAATGTCCCTCATCTAGGTCTGTTTCTTTACTTGTAGAGAAAGTTTTCTATTTGTAAGGGACCTGTAGGCTGTTGGCATGGCTTTACTTGTTGCAATGTACTGCATGAGTGGAAGAAACCTGGGTATTTGTTTCTAGGGAAGGGAGTCAATCTGGAACTGCTTTTTCAGGTTTTCTGGGGGTTTTGTTCATCTTTCTGGAAGTTTTGAATTGCAGTTGATACCTCAGCTGATATTCTAGTAACTCTTATCTGTAAGTGCAGATAGACTCTGATGGAAAGGTCTTGGATCTTTTGAAAAAAAAAAAAAATATATATACATTAACACCTTATTTATTACAAAGTTGAAAGCCTGTGGGTAGAATTGGCAGAATGAGCTTTGTTGTTGATGAGCTTTGCTGTTGACTTACAAATCCTTTGAAAGGAGAGCATTTGATTCAGAAGCTTACAGCATCTTAACTGCAAGTGGAGGAACATGAAGTGTTAACTTTCTAGACTTTATTTTAAAGAAGCTAGAGAGGTGTTATACCTTTCCTTGGCAGAGGCATTTGATGGCTAATCAGATTTAAATCAAGCACTCAAGTATTATGTGTATTACAGGAGGTGTCTAGGTAGTTCTCAGTTGGACTACTGAGAGGTGATCACTGGAATTGTTTGTTACCATAGCATCAAATTTGGAAGATCCTTGTACCCCAGCAAAGGTAAGATGAGAGAGAGCATCTCCTGTCTTTGTGCCAGATAGAACTCCAGAAACTATGTAGTATATTAAAAACAACAAATTACATGTCAGAGCTACAGGTAAGGTGATTTAATAGCCTTCTTTCTGTCTCCTGCTCCTCACCACACCCATCACTTTGCACAGTTTGGGTACCTGTAGAGGATATAACTTGTTCCATTTTCCAAGGCAAATCATCCCAACATTTTTCTGCTGAAACTAGAGATCTGGAGTTTTGCAGTCTTTTGCCAGTTCGCAGAGCTATTGACCTCTGTGTACTGTTGCTTAGCAGTGAAATGAATCCTTCCAGTTTGTATTCTTCCTGTGGAGACTTTACATTATCTGGAGAAAAGCTGGTGCATGTAGAGGGATCCTTCTGCTTTTCAAATTTGTGACAAAATAGGCTTTTCTCTCTGAAAACAGTTGAAAATTTATTGTGTTGTAAGTGCCTGAATATTTGGGAAATTCTGCTTTGGTGTTACATCTGTCTTTTCTTCTTTATTAAGGTTAGCAAACTATAGGATTCAGCCATTGTCATGGAAGCAGTATGGAAGGAGTATTAAAATCACCTATTGCAAGAATATTAGCTTTGTTATTTTTCAGTTTTGTCTAAATAACCAAAGCTTGGCTTTCATGGTGTACAGTTGAGAGATATTGTAGAACGTAATGGGGTGAGGGGATGGTTATGGAGAGCAGTGTGTTGTTCTCAGTGCTTTAGTAGAGATTAGAGGAAAAGGGAGAGCTGGTTGGAGGAAGACTCAATTTATTCACCTTTGCAAGTTCGAATTTGCAGCCCCAGAACTCCAAGGTGTATAAAAAGGTGGCCAGAGAAGGAAAAAGGGACATCACAAGTGGAGATGTTGATGGAATGATTGAAAAGACCAGAAAAGAAGTGAGAGGATGCCCAGCCCAGGCATGTTAGAAGAGGAGGGAATGGCGGGCTAAGTTGCATGCAAGTAGAGCAGATAGGAAAAGACAGATGACAAAAAGGGAAAGCGGGCAAGGAGGAGGCTCCCAGCGGCTTTCATGGGAGTCAGATCCAAGGCGAAGAGACAGAAGATGAATTTCAGCAATCCGGGAAAGCTGCAGGAATCCTGCAGGTTGGGACGTGCTGCCAAAGGAATGCTCTGCAGTTCTGCTATTCACGTTACTGCAGCCTGACAAATTTACAGCTGTATTACCTGACCCATTGCATCCACTGTTAAAAATACATTTCCGATCTTTTCTTATGGTGCATGACATTGATACTGCTAGAGCAAACAATTTCATCTGTGTGAGAGAGAAGTGATGTCCCCACATATTCTGTGAAGCAACCCAAGAAAGTTGATGGATCAGATTATTGGTGTACTTTTATTTGCGTTGCGTATTTCAGTTAAGGCTCTTCAACTTTGAAACAGTCTCTTGATGTTAAATCTGTTTGCTGTTTTAGATGCTACCGTAGCTCACCTTCTCTGGAGTTTGTAAGATAATGT